GAATGGGAGCGGCATAGTTTTTCCGGACAAGCACTGATGATTTTACATTAGATCGTCAGTGCTTTTCCAGAAATTCAAGCGGCCAGTGTAGACAGCTGGCAAGTTTTTCCGCAAAATCAGATGATTTTCCGGAAAAACTTACCAGTGTAGACACAGCCCAGCTGTTAGAGACAGCGAGCGCGAGAACCTGGCAGGAGGCCCTGGAAAACTTGAAACTAGAGTAGGGCCCTTCTCAGAACAGAACTTCGGAGCAGAGCAATACAGTCCGATTTGCTGCACAGCCAGTCGATTTTAACATCTCCCAAAAGCTACTGATGTTTCTTTGCCTTCAAGTGAAGCTAAAAAAATGTTTGTTTTTTGTCTTAAATCTTTCAGTGTTATTCACTTAGCACTATGCTAATGCAAGACTTAAAGAAATCTCCACTTTTAAAATTATTTTCTGATATTTGACCAGACATCAGACACAGCTCCGCAGAGAGTGACTAATGACCTGCTTTCTGTGAACGGGGGGGAAAAAAAGCCTAATTATGTCCATTAAATTACTTCAAATATTTTTCCTAAGAGAATATGAATTATTTAAACTCAACACGGAGAAACCTGAAACATTAGCAAAAGCCTTCTGGGACTTGCTATGTAAATTCCCCACTCCAAACAGATGGGAAGAGCATGGCAAGTTGCCACACAAGCACTGAAGCAATGAACAATACCAAGATTTCAATTCAATAGTTTTATTATGGTCTTCTTAAAGAAGGCATTAAGTGAATAACTACTACCAAGAGCACCATTAAAGGCTTTCCTGCCTTCCGGAGGAGGAGGGAGCAGAGTTAGACGGCTGGCACACTGCTTCCTGGAAAGGAAATTTAAGGTTTGCATGGCGCCAAGTATTCATTTGACAACTTAACTGTTATCCTTAGGGAGAGCTCGTTCTAACGCATGGGTACATTTCTACTACAGCTTAGCACTTCGGGACATATTTACGTCCTCTCTCTCTCTCCTCCTCTCCTTCCTCTTGCCTCTTCCCTGAGTGCGATTTCTGAAGCCCTGTGTAGCCTTCCAGAAACAGAGCGAAACATGTGAGTAATAGCTACAGAGCCACTGCAGACTTAAAGAGAACGTCAGTTTTAGAAGCACAGAATCACAAGATCAGAACAGACCACAAGGGTCATCTAGTCCAGTGTTGCTCAACTTTTTTTTTTTTTTATAAAGTACCCCTTTTTACCAAAAAAACCCAACAAATGTATAAGTACCCCCAGTATCTACAGTTTTCAGACACACACAATTTTTTTTCTACCATTGCAACACATTTGTTTAAACAATCGTAGCCAGCCGGGTGATGACATTTTTGGATGTAAAAAAATACAAAAATAATAAAACTCTGTAAAACTTAAAACAAAAATTCAGTTTTCTCCAAATTTCAGTTGTGTTGACGTACCCCCCCCCCCCGACTTCTCTCGAGTACCCCAAGGGTACTCATACCACTGGTTGAGAAACACTGATCTAGTGTTTGCAACATGCAGGATTTGTTGCAGCTAATCCAACAAAGACAGATGGCTATCCAGCCTCCTTTTGAAATTCTCCAGTAAAGAAGTTTTCCACCACCTCCCTAAGACTACGTCTAGACTTCAAGCTTCTTTTAGAAGAAGCTTTTCCGGAAGAGATCTTCCGGAAAAGCTTATTTCAAAAAAAGAGCGTCCACACAGCAAAAGCGCAACAACAAAGCGATGTGCTTTTTCGAAAGATAGTGTCCAATCAATGCGGACGCTCTCTCACATTTAAGTTGTGATTAGTCTGGACGGATTGGCCACCTAGGCACCTGTGTTATTTCCTGGAGGCCTCTTCTTTCGAAAGAGCTCCCTCTTCTGCATCCACACATGCCTTTTTCTGAAAAAGTTCTCTCGGAAAAAGGCTTCTTCCTCAAACAATGAAGTGTACCGCTGTCAGTAAAACCTCTCCGTTCTTTCGACTTTCTGTTGAAAGAACTCAATAGCAGTGTGAACACAAGTATTGTTTTTCTGGAAAAACAGCGGGTTTTCTAAAAAAACACTACAGTGTAGATGCACCCTCGGGGTGTCTTCCATTGGTCTTCTGTTCTTACACTTAAGAAGATTTTCCTGAGATTTAATCTAAATCTGCCATGCTGGAGTTTGAACCCGTTGGCTCTTGCCCTGCCCTCTGTGGCAACAGAGAACAACTTTTCTCCATCCTTTTTATAGCAGCCTTTCAAGCACCTAAAGACAGCAATCGTATCCCCTCCCTTAATCTCTTTTCCAAACTAACTATAGCCAGTTCCTTCAGCCTTTGCTTATGAGGCTTGCTTGTTCCATTATAGGTGAGCTATGGGACCAACCAAACTCAAAGATCCTGACCAACCAAAGTCAAACCTCCTGAGCTCTCTTCCAGCCCTATGATTCTATGACTTAAAGCCAGCCAATCTGGCTAGATAGAAGCAGAGAGAGGCTCCATGGTGAAGAAAACAAACATACGCTGCAAAAGGACCCAAGAGACTCCCAGGGAAGACTGACCCCAGGCCAAACAATGGTCTGGAATGGGGACAAAACTAAGGCAGCCAAAAGCATGGAGAGTTTATTATTTTCGGGTAGATCGGTGTAGTTCTTGTATAATTAAGCAAAGCAGAATCATGTTAAAGTCCTATGCAAAGTCTGTATGTGCATTGTGTTTCAGCCATCTCAGGCACTTGAAATGTTAACCTGTGGACCCAGCATACTCATACAGATGGGAGTTCTGGTACAGAGTGTGTTTAACCTATGGGAGGATATGGGTGCGAAGAGTCAGCATTGATGACAAGGGCTGGACTGTTGGATATGGAGGACTCAGCTCTCAAGAGGGACTGCTTGACTGAGGCTCTGCATGCTGGGACCTCACACTAAGGGCAGTACCTGGACTCGTTAGGCCTCAAGCACTCAGGATCCAGTAGTAGGTTCCCCTCCCAGCAATCTGGGGAGTGCCCAAGAAGGGACATGTGTGCTACACCCCATTTTCCTATTATAACAATGTCATAATATTAATATGACATAACTAAGATGTATTTTATGCAAGAGGGTCACGTAAGGTATCATTGGAAAGGTTGTGATTTGCTGAATGTGATTACCCTGTTTGTATGCATGTATCATTTCTGCATCTGAAGTGAGGAATATTGACTATGTAACAATTACAACTGTGTTTTTAACTGAGGAACACCCACCAGACAGCAGGCAATCAGCCAGGATGGTCTCTGAGGAAGGACAATGGGACTTTGAAGATGCTAACCTCCCACCTTCTTGAGAAGCTGCTTTGACACTGCAGGTAATCACGTCACCTGGTACCGAACACCATCTTGAACTGCTGGTATTTTTCCATCAGGAGGGGATGAAGATCAAACTGGGAAACAAAGATTCCCACCACATGCAAATCCCATTTAAGACTGGGGATAAGATAATGCGGAGTGAGTTAATCTTCGTTCTTCTCTACTGCCAAGAAAGGAGATTGCTGAAAAAACAAAGGAACTGAGCAGGGAGGATGTGGGGGAGGAGGCTGAGCCCTGGAGTGAAAAATCTAGCCTGTGAAAGAAATACCTGGAGATTTAAGCCACAAGCATGCAGTTTACATTCAAGAAACTCTGTAACCTTCATAAAACAACATTTAGGATCAGAATTTGCTTTTATTAGCTAGTTAATTTAGCATATAAAGTTTGTTTTATTTGCTTGGTAATCTACTTTGTTCCGTTTGTGATCCCTTATAATCAATCACTTAAAATCTACTTTTTGCAGATAATAAACTTGATTTGTTTATTCTACAACCATTTTGTTTTATAATTCATAACTGGGGAAGGAGCTGTGCATATCTTCCTCCACAATGAGGGAGGGAGCAAATGTCATGAGCTTATGCCGTACAGATCTCTATATAGCACAAGACAATGTAATTCTGGCTTTACACTCCAGAAGTTGTATACACTTGAGTCTTGGGCAATCCCTGAGCTGAGTCTCCAACATCCCCCAATCCCTCAGAGCTGGATGCAGGGTCTGTGTGATTCTACAGCTGGGTGCATGCTGAAGGCAGCCTGAAGACCCGGCATAGTAAGGACAGGATGAGGGAACCCAGACGGGTTCAATGGGAGGGTTCAGGGGGACCACAGTATATTGAATGGCTTCCTGGAGGGGGATGTAACCCCACAATACTTGACTAGATCTATGACAAAAGGGTAACAAGAACTTCCTAGCTTTTGCAAAGATAACGCTTCTCTCAAAGCATTCTGCTCTTGAAATTGTTTGAAGAGATGGATCTTAGCTACCCTGACATTTCTAACTTGATTTACAGAAGCATTTGCTATAATGCCAGCTGATATTAGGTACTGACCAAGTACTAAGGAAAAGACATTAAGAAAATAATCCTCTTTCATTCCAAAAGCATTCCCAAACACTTATTCCAAGGACTACACCAGCCCCCAGGCTCATTTAGCCCCTTGGTAATGATGAGTTTCTCTCTCACCTTCATTTTACAAGAGAAAGACTGAAGTGAATTTCAGCATCAGACTCATTAAAGTGACAATAGTTAAGTAGGGGTTATATCCATTTTTACAGCTGTCATTAAGTGTAACCTTGCAAGTTATAAAGTCACTGAATTATTGAGTGTAAAGCATGACAATGGGGATATTAATGTTCTAGAGTCATTTTATGGTATGTACAAAGTTATGCAAAATACCTGAAACTATTCTGAGCCTTTGGCATGTCTATTTAGTCAAAGATGCTGCTGAATCAATCAATACAGTGCAATAACCACCACCACAAAAAACATATAACCTCTTCACCAGTCCCTATATTAAGCTCTGCTTATTGGATTAATAAATTGTAACAAGCTAAATAAAAAATAACCACAACACAAGATTGACAAAATGAAATTAAATTTGTTTACAATGTGCACTGATACCAGGGTGATGGGCACAGTAACAATTAGATGGACTAATTGGGGCCTGAAGTAGAAAGAGCACAAATGGCCATTTTTACCTTCACAGACACCATCTTTCTCTTGAAAGCCAGCACTACATGTACATTTCCCAATGGGGACCAGCCACTCCCCCTCCGCACTGCAATGCATCCTGGGAGGATTATCCAGGTCTACTTCGGAATGATTGACACAGGTGCCCTTAACTTCCACCAGGGTTGCAAATGCTGCTTCTGCCACAGTGTCCGGAAACACCGCCAAGTTCTGCACCGTGGAGAGGCACTTTTTGTAATAAACCCGCACGGAAACCAAAGCCACACAAGCACCCACATCCTGAAAGCCCAGGTGGAAGCCTCTCTTGCTCAGGTGCCCAATCTCCCTCAGCTCCGTGTTCAGCTTCATTTTGCGCTCGCCCAAGTCCCCCTGCGTGAAGCTCTCATCGGCAGCAATGGTGTCGATTTTTGTATGCTTGTTCTCATGGATGCTGCGGCCCAGATCAGAATCCGACTCAATGTAATAGAGGTTGAAGGTCTCCTTGCATGTGCCCACCACCCCAGGGATGCTGTTACAGTCCCTCAGGGTGAATTTCAGCTCAATGAAGATTCTTTGGCCACTGCGCCTGGCAATCCAGCCTGTCTGCAGCCAGTTGTTTTGATTCGACTCCATGACGTTGCACACCTGGTAGGTACGAATTGGCTTGTAGTTTTCATCCACTCCACTAATTTCTTCCCACTACAAAGAGAACACACATGTCTGGTAACTGCTATTTAGTGAGAACCAGTCTTCCAAGTAAAACCCCTTTCATTATGAATAGAGCCACTAACCCTCCCTAACGCGTGTATCATTCTAGAAAGGCATTAAAAAAAACCCAAAGCCCACAGAATACATAAATCCCAGCATCAACACTCCATAGTGCTTTCCAGCATCTCAATATGTAGGAGGAAGAAATGCAGCCAGTAACAGAAGATGGGCACGGGATTTAATGTTTAAAACAAGACCTAATTTGTAACAGCCAGGGAAGTCTTGTCTGCAAAGCGAGCGTCAAGACACACAATACCCCAGTTCACTCCCATGGGGCTAGCAATGGCTTTTCCTTTATTAGTTACCCATATCATAATTAAGTGTTTTATCAGGGCCAGCTTCCAAAGCCATTTGACTGACCTCTTCTCCCCAAGCACCTCCTTAACTGTTCTGAAGGTTGGGACTGCCAGGCTCTCTGCAATTCCACTAGCTTTAGGTCACAGGCTCCCTTTTAATACAGAGGAACAGCAATTAGTTTTCCAGTGGGGAAACTACCCACCTCCTAATTAGAGATCAGTGGAGGAGAGGGGAAGAGAGTAAGAAAAGAGGAAATATCAGACCCGCCTTGTCTGTCATTTGGTGGGCAGGAGAAGGAAGGACTCCACCGCTCTTTCTGGAATGGCTTTGGCAATGCTGAGCAACTCAGGTCAGAGTGAGGGATGAAGTGCCCAAGGCCAACGGTCTCTCCTGGCTTTACCTTCCCAGATAGCTAGAATTTGCACTGTCACACAGAAGCAGCTCACACTACCGAGTAGATCCAGACCATCAAAAGAAACTACATATGGCTGGGAATGAAGGAGCCCAGGTGCCTCAAACCAACCAGGGACCATCTCCTGACCTGAAAGCAGGTCGAAGACACTAATACTCTCAAGGAATGAACTCACCCAAGTTTAAGTGAAGTGGCATTTCCCTGAAGCAGCCAGGGAAGTGTTGATTGATGAGATGGTGATCAGATCATCAGAGCCCTGAGAAGTGATCTGAGAGGTGTACACGGGTCCTTACACGGGTGGCAGAGTTTGTAGTGAGATTACCAAAGAATCCCCATAATGGAGTTTCTTCCCAGCCACGGACACATTCCAGTGCAGCTGAGTCAAGGTCCAAACATGCAGTGTCACTTCTGAAGAGGGAGTTAAGAGCAGCTGGAAACATCTGATTTCACTGATTTTCCCTCTCGGATAAAAGTGAACACTGCTACAGACAGGCAGCAGCCTAGCCATTCACTTAGACAAACTACAAATCATGGAGGAGTTACATATACATACATATGAGGTCAAGCTTTCCCCCGGCCCAAAATGTCCTGATATCCTGCCTTTTTGTTCGTCAGGAAACATAATGAATCCTTAAGGAAACTAGCCTGGAAAGTGAACTACAGATAAAAGCTTTAATTGACTTGAGTTCATTTCCTTAGTACAAGAATGTAAACCACATTTTCATGAGCTATGCTCAATTTGCAGTGTTCCTCTGACATAATCAATACAATCGCTCACTCCTCTCCCCGGCTGTCTGGGACTGACAAACATCGCTGTTCATGACAAGGCGGCATTGTGTCAGCTTGTCAAGCCTGCTGTTCACATCATGGAGACACGTCGCTGCTTCGCAGCTCACCTCTGGGATCTAGATTTGAAGAAGAATCTTGTCTGCCCATCAGTCTAATGCTAGGCTGAAGGCAGATATGCGTCAAGATGAGCAACAGCGAAAAGTAAAGGCCCTCGGCACGTACATGGCATTTGAAACCCCTGAGGAGATCATACGGACCAAGAGTGCCCCTTTGAAAGGGTGCCCCCAACGAATGCACTTCCATAAGAGATGTTACTCAGCTGCTGCAGCCAGCCACAAAGCCACTCCCATCAACGCAGACAGCCCAGAATCACTGGGCAGAGCCAGAAGAGATTCATGGCATGCGTAGAGGGAGAGTACCAATAGACAGACAGCGACAGAGCACATCTGTGGACATTGTCACTTACCCCATTCGACGGATGCGATGTCCAGCCCAACTCGGCTTGCGACTCCTTAGAATCCAGCAAAACAACTGCATGGGAGACAGATGTGTTAAAAGGTGAATTTATAAAACTCACCCCCATGTCAGCCACCCTGGCAAACTACACCAAACAGCCAGCCTCCAAAATGACCAACTGGCTCGAGCGTTTTGAAACGGTATTCATACCACTTCTCACTGTTAAAAGAGCACCCCCGGCCTCAGATGTACACCCTACTGAGTAGTTTCAAAGGAACAACACTCTGCCCTGCTTGAAAGGAGACCCTGCAACAGTTAAAAATCCCAGGTTGTCACCAGCTGGCACTATACATCTAATGGCAAGGTCACATCTGTAAAACATTTCAAAGGCCCTTTTGCCTTCCCTGACCAGCTGAGACCCAAGTTCTGCATTTGCCCACTTCTACTGTGCCAGAAACACCAGCAAAACTGCCCAAGGACATGTTGCTTTGGGGATCTGGAAAGTCAGCATCAATCCCAGGGTAATCATAGAATCCTAAACAGGGGGCAGGTGGGAGTGAGAAAGTGGGGAATATTCTGTCCAGTATTTTGTTACAAACATGTGAATTGAGAACTGTTACATTCAAAGAACTTAGTTCTGCTAATAGGGAATCTTTACTCTAATTAAAGAGCATTTCAGAAATCTTGCCTCAGTACCTCTGACTAACCAGCTGGGCTGGAGCTGTCTCACTAAGTGTCAGCAGGCCACCCCAGTGACTCAGTGATTGTACCTGGCAGGGAGGTCTATTTTATGGTGGCAAGAGAAGAATTCCAGGGTACACATTATAGCACACAATTGCATCTCAGTGGTCAATTGCAAATCCCCCACTAACTTCAGAGCAGTACAGATTTTATCCCAGAGGATTAAAACTCTCAGATACCATGGTGATGGGTACTGGTCAAAAGTCTCTGTCTAGCTAAAGACAGCTAAACATTGGGCTCTTGCAACACAGCTCTTTGTACTACAACCAAAATATTAGCAAAAGGACACGACTCACGTGACTATCTGGTGAAGAAATACCATGACATTACGACGAGTGTTTTTTTGTACTTATCCCATGTCAACCACATTAAAATTGACTTCAATGCCTTGGATTACAACAGGTTAGCCCACCCTGCGCCTTGGAGCAAAGCGCCTTGTTCCACTTTACAAACATCAAAACATTTACAACTGCAGAATTGCTGGAAATTTCTCCATTTTCTGATCCAAGTTACTCAGAAGGGATCAGGTAAAGTCAGTTTCTCACACACTGGGAAATGGTGCTGCCTTTTCCAAATGCACGATTGTCACCACCAGGTCTGGGGACAGATCTTGGAATGGTCAAGATGACACAACAGCTCTTTTTTACTCTCAATAGCTGTAATTTCCATGCCAGGGCTATACCAAGTCATTCATTTATTCCAGTATAAAAATGAATCAAGTATCTTGGCAGAGACATAGGATCAAACTCAGTCACCCCTTTGGAAGTCATCAAAACACCATTTCTCAGTAGTGAGATTTGCTCTAAAACCAACAGAATATAAAGGCTAATCGCTACAGGCTCATGCCAAAAATAATAGGCTGGAACCATCTGAGTTTTTATCACAGTGATAAATATTCCACTGGTGTAAGTGTTTCACATGGGCATTTAATTGGAAGAGACTATCACCAATGAGAATAAAAAGGTTCATTTTTAAGGCCCACTTTGGAATATAAAGAATGTCAAACATTTAAACTGAAGATATTAAGGATAATTGCTAACTCAGAAATTTGAAGCTCTGTCTTTAGTAACAGGCAAACAGAGGTAGTTTATTTATTCAGTTAACAGACAATAACTGAAGTGGTTTTCTTTCATTACTGATCCCTTGTGAGCTTGTTATAAAATTTCCCCCAGTTCATACGGGATTCCCAAGCCACTCTAATGGAGAGTATGGAGGAAGAGGCAGGAACCAGGAGATTTAGATAGAACACAGCTCATGATCTGCTTGCCTCTTGATAGCAGAGAATGGCTATACAGGAAGGATGGGCTCCACCTAAACCAAAAATGGAACCAGACTGATGGCACTTAAAATCAAAACCATTGTAGTGCGGAGAAGCACATGGATTGAGACATCCCTTAGGGGAGAGTCTATAAAAGGAGATTCTCTATGTCCTGGTATAGACAGGGCTGGCCTTACCATGAGGCAAACTGAGGTGGCCGCCTCAGGTGCCAGACTGTGAGGGAGCACCACTAGGACCCAGAGTGTAGAAAATTGTTTCTGCTGCTGGTGCATATGTATTCTCTCTGCTCTAGATGCACAGAGATGGTGAAGTGCTGTGCTGAAGGAAGGAGGGCAAAAGAAACATAATAGGCAGGCAGGAGAAAAGGGGGCATGGGAGCGTCATTTGAGCTCCCCGCCTCAGATGCCAAAATATTGTGGGCTGGCCCTGAGTATAGAGGACAGAATGGAAGATAAGATAACACATGGGTAAGGTCTGATGAGAAACAGTCACATGAAAAAGAGTCCCATTCAATCACATCAGATAATGGCAGACAGCTAAATAGTGACAAGTTTTTAAAGTGCTTGTATACAAATGCTTGAAGTCTAAATAATAAGATGGGTGAACTAGTGTGCTTCGTAATGAGGATATTGATAAAATAGGCATCACAGAAACTTGGTGGAATGAGGATAATCAATGGAACACAGCAATACCTGGGTATAAAATATGTCGGAAGGACGGAACAAGTTGTGCTGGTGGGGAAATGGAATCATATGTGAAAGAAAACAGATTCAAATGAAGTAATAATCTTAAATGAATTAAACTGTTCCATAGAAACTTTATGGATAGTAATTCCAAGCTCTAATAATATGAATATAGTAGTAGGGATATATTACCGAACACCTGACCAGGATAGTGATAGTGACTGTGAAATGCTAAGGGAGATTAGAGAAGGATTTCAACTATCCACATATTGACTGGGTACACATCACTTCAGGACAGGATGCAGAGATTAAAGTTTCTTGACACTTTAAATGCTTCTTGGAGGAGCTGGTTTTGGAACCCACAAGAGGAGAAGCAATTCTTGATTTAGTCCTAAATGGAGCACAGGATCTGGTCCAAGAAGTGACGATAGGTGGACTGCTTGGAAATAGTGTCCCAGATTGAGTTGTCCTTAGAAGAGGTTTTGGAACAAATTGATAAACTAAACAGTAGCAAGTCACGAGAACCCGTTGGCATTCACTCAAGAGTTCGGAAAGAAATCAAAGGTGAAATTGTGGAACTACTAACTGGTTTGTAACCTATCCTTTAAATCAGCTTCTGTAACAAATGACTGGAAGATAGCTAAATGTGACTCCAATCTTTAAAAGGGCTCCAGAGGTGGTCCTGGCAATTACAGACTGGTAAGTCTAATGTCAGTACCAGGCAAATTAGTTGAAACTATAATAAAAAACAGAAGTGTCGGACACATAGATGAACATCATTTGTGGGGGAAAAGTCAACATGTTTTCTATAAAGGTAAATCATGCCTTACTAATCTGCTAGAATTTTTTGAGAGTGTCAACAAACATGTGGATAAGGGGGATCCAGTGGATATAGTGTATTTAGATTTCCAGAAAGCCTTTGACAAGGTCCCTCACCAAAGGCGCTTAAGGAAAGTAAACAGGCATGGGATAAGTAAGCTGTCATGAGGGTCCTCTCATGGAATGATAACTAGTAAAAAGATAGGAAATAAAGGGTAGGGATAAATGGTCAGTTTTCAGAATGGAGAGAGGTAACTGGTGTCCTGCAGGATTCAATCTTATTCAACATATTCATAAATTACTCAGAAAAAGGGGTAAACAGTGAGGTGGCAAAATTTGCAGATGATCCTACACTGCTTAAGATGTTAAGACCAAAGCAGACTGAAGAGCTTCAAAAGGCTCTCACAAAATTATGTAACTGGGCAACAAAACGGCAAATGGATTATAATGTTGATAAAGGCAAAGTAATCCATATTGGAAAACATAATCCCAAATATATGTACAAAATGATTAAATTAGATATTACGACTCAAGAGAGACATCTTGGAGTCATGAATAGTTCTCTGAAAACATCCACTCAATATGCAGCAACAGTCAAAAAACAAACAATGGTAGGAATCATTAAAAAAAAGGGATAGAGAATAAAAAAGAGAATATCGGATTGCCTCTATATAAAACCATAGCACGCCCACATATTCAATACTGCGTATAGATGTGATCAACTCATTTCAAAAAAGATATCATAGCATTGGAAAAAGTTCATAAAAGGGCAAGAAAAACTATAACAATTTTGGAACAGCCGTCATATGAAGAGAGATAAAAAGACTGGGACTTTTAGAAAAGAGGGAGCAAAGGGGGGATAAGATAGAAATCTATACAATCATGACTGGTATGGAGAAAGCAAATGAGGAAAAGTTATTTACTTGTTCCCATAACATAAGAAATAGAGGTCACCAAATGAAACTAATAGGTAGTAGGTTTAAAACAAAGAAAAGGAAGTACTTCTTCTCGCAACACACAGTCAACCTGTGAAACTCCTTGCCAGAGGATGTTGTGAAGGCCAGGACATTAACAGGATTTTAAAAAATAAATGGAGGATAGGTCCATCAATGTATTTTAGACAGGATGGATAGAAATTGTGTCCCTAGCCTGTTTGTCAGAAGCTGAGAATGGACGATAGGAGAGCGATTGCTTGAATATCTGGCATTGGCTGCTGTCAGAAGACAGGATGCCTGGCTGGATGGACCCTTGGTCTCATCTTTACTTTTGGTTTCCATAGAATCAAAGAAGTTTTAATTCAAACGCAGAATTTCCCCCACGCCCTCTCCATTTAGCTATCTGTAAGTCCTAAATTGTCAGCCTCTGTTGTGCATTCCTAGCAGATGCTAGTTCTTCCATCAAATGATATTACTGCTGATTCGGCCATTTGCTATGCCCCCTGCCAGACCCACCATATTGTCCCACTTCATAAATTCCGCTGATCACCACCAACGGTGCTTAGCAGCATTAGGCATCTCAGTAACTGAGCAGCAAATTGAGAGACAGCACAATGA